GAAAGCGCTTGGTCACATTTCAGAGAAACTCTGGAGTTAGCATGGACTTCCGAGGTCATGTATTCCAACCTCCCACACGAGGCAAGAAAAAAGTCCCTTCTCTGTTCCTGACAGTCATCCAGCTTTTGTTGGAACCAGGCTCAACACATATATTCATCTGTATTCTAATGAGCAGTTCTGATTAAGGCAAATATGTTCGTGACATACAAAAAGAAAGGGAGTGGAAAAGAAGTGGGTAACTGAATGCTTTTCGTTTGTTCAACGCGGGACACACGTTGCCTACATAACAACCTGTGACGTCGGTTTTATAATCCCGTTTGACCTGTGAAGAAACTAAGGCACAGAGTGGTGAAGTAACTTACCTGAGTCCCCCTGGTTAGTAAGGGTTGGAGCTGAGATTCCAGCCAAGGCGAGCTCAAGGGCAGAGCCACCCCTCTTCTCACTACTTCTACTACCTTCCTCTCTCTAACCAGAAGCCAGGAAAGACCTCTGATCCTGATGGCCTTTCTTCCAGGCTTTAACTTTACCTGAGGTCACTCATTAGCTATAATTGTAAGAAATTCAAAGGAGCCCTGGGGTGAATTCAGTTACTTCCTTGTAGGAGTTTGAACAACCTGGTAGGAGTTTGGCAGTTTGACAAAAGGGTTTTCTGAAGAACAATTCAGAGAGGTCCTGTTCTGGCGAGTTGGCCTCTTCCTCATTTGTAAAATGCAGATAATTACGCCTACTTCTCTGAGTTGTTGTGAAGACTGAATGAGAAAACCTGCAAAGACCTTGCAGAGAGAATGACACCTAGTAGGCGCGCACAGGAAAGCATGGATTTTTTTTCTTCTGTTACTCTGTTATCTGCATTTTTTTCCAGCTTTATTGCGATATCATTGACATATAGCACATGTAAATTGAAGGTGTGCAGTGTGGTGATTTGATACATGTCTATATTGAGAAATTATTACCTCACATAATTAACATTTCTGTGTGTATGGTGATTAACATTTAAGATCTGTTCTCTTAACAAGTACATGACGCAGTATTGTTAATTATACTCACCACGTGGTACATTAGAGCCCCAGAACTTATTCATCTTACAGCTAGAAGTCTGTACCCTTTGACCAACGTCGTCTCAATTCCCCCAGCCCCCATCCCCTGGCAACCACAATTCTACTCTGTTTCTGTGAGTTGGGCCTTTTTAGATTTCACATGTAAGTGAGGACATACAGTGTTTGTCTTTCTCTGTCTGACTTATTTTCCTTAGCATAATGTCCTCAAGGTCAAGGAGGGATTATTAGTCTTATCTTTCATCATTGTTGTTCTTACTGTTTTTATTAGTTGATAGCAGCGGCTGGCAGAGTTTTCTCAGGGTTTGTTTTTAGAGAGGAAAGCTCAATTTCACTAATTGCTTCTCAAATATTCCACTGTCCCCCCGAGCCTTTATAAGAATCAGATCCCACAGACGCCTAGCCCTTCTGTGAAAGGGTAAAAAC